TAGTTATCTGTAAACATTACTGGTCAACTGTTAGGATATTCATCCAATATCCTAAGAGAATTATTAGTCGAATCCTATTGGTCGATTTCTGTTCGTCAAAATTACGGTCGTTTTAGCCGTCAAAGTCAAATATCTCAATGTTGTCCCTTATTGGTCATCCGGACTGTGAATGTCACTTCAAATGTTGCTTCCTATTGGTGGTCGTCCTAACTGTCGATGTCACAGAATTCGATGCTGTTTCCTGTTCGACCAAAATGTATAAATACGCATTATCTGTAACATTTTATGACCACGACCAGGACCAGGGCTCGGTTTCGGATCCCTAGTCCGGGATCCCGATTCTCTTCTGGCTTCGGACCTCGTACTTTCTGGATGCTTGTAGAAAACAGATTCTACTTCATATCATGTCTCCTTATTTTCACTGAATATGGTGGGGGTAGGGATGATCGGATTTGTGTAGCATGTCGTGTCACCGGACCCTCGATTTTCGACTAGGTAAACTCGAAATAATTCAAGTATATCAAGTTGACGTGTTTACTTTGCAGGCATAACATCAACCTGGAAGCACTGGACGGCTGTTTCGTCCTGGTATAGGACTCAACAGTAGTTCGCATACACAAATCCTGCAACTCACAGGATTCGAACCTAGGACCTTCGGTCTTGCGTGCGAACGCCTAACCTCTACATCACAATTTTGAATTAACCAGCATAAACGTATATAATACTAAATTTGATGGAAATGTATGTCGTTGTGGGTTTTGGAGTATTCGGACTTCTTTGAAATCCTATCAATGACTGATTCATTCAGCCATAACTCAGAGTAGTCATGATTATTTGATGAACTGACTGAATTTTTGCGACACAATTTCATTTTGATATCGACTGAAATTAGTAACCTTAACCGATTAGTTCGTTTCTACTTTTTTCTTTCATCATTCACATAATATTCAATGTAGCTGATAATTTCGATGAATTCATTGTTAATCATAATCGTTATTTGAATTTTGACTTTTGACAATTCTATTAAGATAGTCGTAAATGTTCCCTAACAATAAAGTATTTAGAGCATTGATCAATGTAGTTTTGTTACAAGGGGTTCCAGTGAATCTGTTAGTTCCAGTGTGCTCAGAGGACAAATGGAAAATATTCACAAATAAATTAATCATACGTTTATTAGTGAATTCCAGACGTTCAAATCATATAATCATAGCTTGTGAAGTCAGCTTAAGGGGCAGTAAATTAGTTAAGATATTATTTGAAGAATAAAGCATTATCACCAAGGTGCTGACATCGTAGTTCACCATCTAATGTTCCCTATGATACAAAGAGTTTATGGTGTCGGACTCTCTTCTTCTCTCCGTCTTGACGATTGTTACTATAGAACACCAGTCGTTGCCACCATTTCTTTATTATTCAAAATATGTTATGATTGATTCTTTGGTCTAATACATAAAGTTGGATAACTTCTCTGCCGATGTAGCCCTTCACGTTGCGTTAGGCTCGAAGTCGGGATTTCTCGGTAATCTGTTGGGGATTTTAGATCCCCAAAACTCTCTTGATAAATGCCTTATTTTGGTTTTCACGTTTTCCAGCATGGGCTGATCAGTTGACCTTGAGATTTCATTTCCCACCGGGAAAATCCAAGGCTGTGATGGGCTGCAGTGTATTTCAATGTGCTATTTTTGTAACTGTCCCAAGGACCTTTCTATGATGTATAAATAAACGAGAGTTGTATGCTTGATTGTACTGTGATTGCTGGGTGTTTGTAGAATATACTTTCTACGCTTACAAAGCCTTTTTACTTCAGTTTGGGATTCAAAGTAGCCTACATGGACGCTGGTAATTGTTTCGTTAACGTTTATCGACTAAGGTAAACTCGTAATAGCCTCAAGCATACTTAGTGACGAACATAACATAATCTTAGCCAACAGTCTTATATCCTCAGACTATCACGTCAAACTCACCATTTCAGCGGCTCACAACTCAACTACTGATTTCAGGAGTCCAACACCACAAGTTTCTGAATTCTTCTTGTTGAGATTGTTTAGTTTCATTAAAATCATGCATCGATCATTGTTAGACCAAACCATTAGAAATCTGGAAGCACTGGAAGACGGCCGTTTCGTCCTGGTATGGGACTAATCAGTGGCAGTGCGCATCCACGACTCCTGCACCCCGCAGAATTCGAACCCAGGACCTTCGGTACTGTGCGCGAACGCCCTAACCGTTAGACCACGTCTTCGTGAGGAATCTTCTCCGAGTTCTAGTGGGAAGACGTGACCAGTGAAGTTCAACCTGTTCGGGTGTAGGCAGTGTCTACCGAAGACTGTGTATGAGGTTGCGCAACTCCGTGAATTTGATCAAGTTAGACATTTGCATACCAGCCCAGTGGTCTAACGGTTAGGACGTACGCGCACAATACCGGAGGTCCTGAGTTCGAATCCTGCGGGGTGCAGGAGGCGTGGATGCGCACTGCCACTGAGGAGTCCCATACCAGGACGAAACGGCTGTCCAGTGCTTCCAAGTTTCTAATGGTGTAAGTCTAGCATTGATCGATTCATGGTTTGAAAAATGTGTAACTTAACAATCTTCACAACCCCATTATCAATATTTATAATAAAAAATACTAAAACTCAAATAATTTCCATTCAATTAGGATTTGAATTCATAAAACGTTTTTTTTTCTATAAACGTCATATTATTTCAACAACAACAACAACAAAAAACTAATACGTTTATTCTTTCTTTATTGATCAATCAGATTGGTATGGATAGATTGAAATGTGTCATATTGCTTGATATCAGTGAAGAATATTCTAGACAACGTTTAATTGATCAAATCACTTATTCTAATGAGATTTGTGCTAATAATGAATTGGATTCAATTAATTGTCGTCTGACTATTTTTAAAAATCAAACATTACCTGTATGTAAAGCAATTGAAAATGATGAAAAATTAAGAGTTGTAAGTTTTTACTCTCTGAACTATCTATTTATTTGTATTGATATATAGTCTATTAGATACTTACTTACTTACTTACGCCTGTTACCCACAATGGAGCATAGGCCGCCCACCAGTTTTCTCCAACCAACTCTGTCTTGGGCTTCCCTCTCCAGTTCTGTCCAATGTTTGTTCATTCCTCTCACATCTTTCTCTATTTCTCGGGCATAATGTATTCTTTGGCCTTCCTCTTTTCCTTCTGCCTTGATGGTTCTATGTAAGAGCTTGTCTTGTGACGCAGTTAGGTGCTTTTCGTAGTGTGTGTCCTATCCACTTCCACCGCTTCTTCCTCATTTCCTCCTCCACCTGAATCTCGTTTGTTCTCTCCCACAGTACGATGTTTCTGATAGTGTCTGGCCAACGAATCCGAAGTATTTTGTGTAGACAACTGTTAATAAACACTTGTATCTTCTGGATGACGGCTTTCGTAGTTCACCAAGTTTCTGCTCCATACAGTAGAACTGTCTAGACATTTGTATTGAAAATCCTGATTTTGGTTTTGGTTGAAAGTTGTTTGGAGTTCCAGATATTTTTCAACTGTAGAAATGCAGCCCTTGCTTTGCCAATCCGTGCCCTCACATCTGCATCCGATCCACCTTGGTTGTCGATGATGCTACCAAGATATGTAAAGGTGTTATCGTCCTCCAAGACATCTCCATCAAGAGTGATTTGGTTGGTGCATGTTGTGTTGCATCGGAGAATTTTGCTTTTTCCTTTATGTATGTTGAGACCTACTGCTGCAGAGGCTGCTGCTACACTGGTGGTCTTCTCTTGCATTTGTTGTTGCGTGTCGTTTGACTGCTAATTGATGTTCACGAAAACGGAGCTGAAGAGGCGAACATGAGATAAAGAAACATATAAAAAGGGGCATACCATCAAAACAAAGTTGCGAACAACGTTAGGGTTAAGGTCAACAGCAACCAATCAAGATCGAGGTTAGTAGAACGAGCTACAGGTCAAACATGGAGAAATTCGAATATTCTTCACTTCTGCTATCTGAAGTTTGTGCTGATGATGTTGTTCAGAAGGAGAACAACGAAAGCTCCAAAACCAAAACATCCACCTCAGAGAACGAAACACCACAACAATCATCTGCCTGAGCTACAAATTTTCTCCACTATCTCAAAATTTATAAAAGGAAACAATTTTTATGGTAATACTTCACATTAGTACAAATGAGCAACTAAATAGTTGTAAGCTGTGCAAATGATTGGATTTGTGACAGAGCTAAGATAATGCCCAGACGCTCTATTCAAAACAAATAGTTTTCTTAGACCACCACATCCTGAACCTTCGACCCGACAGTCTAAGCATTGTAACAACATAAGCAGATGTTATCCTATGTTCGCAGGCAATCAACAATAGGTCTACACGTCATTTTGCTCTCTCAGGATACTAAAGCTATGTGCACCATTTGTCCAGAATCAGACTTTCCTAACACTACTAGTTGGATTCTCTATACCTGCCGACTTAGTTTAAGCCATTCATTAACCGGACACTTGGTTTTCATGATCCAAATCCCATAAAGATTACTTTTACTAGGAGAAGAAAGTGAATAGGTCTGCCTTGATTGTTTCTACACATCGATGACTGTTTGAGTGCTATTCACAAGAGATAGAGAGAGAGAAAGGGTGGACTCGCCAGGGTTTCCAGAGGTCCCTACATTATTTAGGCTTACAGGAATTTGGTACATTGAAAGAACAGTTGTTTTCTTTTGTGTTAAAATAAATCAAAGTTACATTGTAAAATGAAAAAAATCATAATAAACCTAGTTAAAATGAATTCTCGAAGTGTTTTACACAAGAAGATTGAATTTTCATAATACTCTTGTGGGTTGAATATGACATGATCGCAAAAATCAATAATCATTTATTGACATGATGAATAGTACAACATTCACATGGAGTTAGGTCTATTCTAAATTATATGATTAACCATTTAAGAACATGAATAAGTGTATTACTACTATTCATTATTTTGTTACTTCTTATTACTTACTTTACAGATTGATGGTGAATTAAATTGTGATGAGATTTTATTGGACATTATGGAATTATGTGATCATATAATTTCTAATCAATTGATTAGTGAGTTGAATTGAATATTGATTTTTACTTACTTACTTACTTACTTACTTACTTACGCCGGTTATCCCCAATGGAGCATAGGCCGCTCACCAGTTTCCTCCAATCAACTCTATCTTGGGCTTCTGTCTCCAGTTCTGTCCAATGTTTGTTCATTCTTCTCATATTTTTATCTATTTCTCGGGCGTAATGTGTTCTTTGGCCTTCTTCTTTGGCTTTCGCCTTGAGGGTTCCATGTGAGGGCTTGTCTCGTGAAAGTATTGTTAGACTATCAAATTAGTTATGTGTATTGTAAAAGTGAGTAAGCAATTCACGATGCTGTAGTGTGTCGATTTTATTGCGTGTTCTTAATATTCATAATTAGTTCGTCCAGATAATCGTTATTAACTAACGTCTGACAGTTTATAAATCAGAAGGTGAACTCGTAGTGATGAATATGTTTATTTTTGGACACACCACAAAGCGAAGTGGAGAAGGCTAATGAACCAACTGTCAGGATTACAATGCAAACGAATGGGCGAAGGAAGCGAATGATCAGTGGGAAGCGCGTTGGGGAAGGCTAATGAGCCAAGTCCAAGAGATAGAGCATGACTAAGAATATATAGTCAGATAAAAATAAGACAGACATGCAACAAGCGAAATAGACACACATGTGAATAGAAGTGACGAATAGCTGACAAGGTCAGATGACAACTGGGACAAGTCACGTGAGCTGATACAAACCAGACAATAATAAGAAGGAATGGTACATATAAATTGTTGCAATACAAATGGCTTGGTTAAACAAATTAATCGAAAGACCTTAACTAAGTTAGATGTAAACGAACTGGAATATATGTGGAGACACTACAATACCATTATTTCATGATATAATTAAGATTTTCAATAATGGACAACTAATTTGGTGAATTCATACAGAATTATGATATAGAAATTCGTTAGTGTTGGTATTTTATTTCTGTCATTGACCCAGGCACCTTCAGTTAATCAGTACCTATCTATGGATACGCTCTTTGAATACGTTGGGCTAGCCAGATCAAAACATGGCACAAATCCATGAAGTGTCATTGACAACTTGACTGATCCATGTGAGCCTGGTGTAGACCACGTGGTTGGGGTTCGTGAGACCGATGGTTAGAAACTTTCAATAACATGACTCAAAATCATTTGCAATGGCTCAAGTGCAAATATTCTTTGTGTTCTCTCACATTCTAATCTTTTGAATGATTCATTACGTCTATCGTTATATTTTGAAGTTTATTTCACTGGTTTATACTTCGTGAATTATATCTTCGGACCCTAATCTTCTCTATTACTGCTCATACTTTTACTACCTCTACTATTATGGGATTTGAACTGACATTTGGATCTCTGTGTGCTAATATGTTGTGGCAACTTGAACTGATATACTGTCGTACTAGGTTCTACTACGTGACTGACTTACTGACTGACTGATCTTGATTAGGTTGCATCGAGATGAGCATTCAGCCTTAGATTTTGTTGAAGTTAGACAGTGATTAGAATTGGAATGAAAGACACACCTTTCATTTATTTTAGGATGTATCGGCTGAATATGCCTACATCCTAGAGTTAATATTCATGTTAGGACTCGAACTCTAAACATGTTGATTCAAACCCTAATATGTCATCCACTGATCTACTGTATCCAAACAGCATGTTCAGCTTTTATGGATTTGTAACAGTGGATTAAGTTTTTGTGGTTCAAAGCGAAATTTACTGTGCTCAAGGTTCACTTTCAGCATTCACCCCTGGATTTGATGGATTATGAAGACGCCAACATCTGAAAGGAAGCACCCGATACAATGGACGGTCAGGAAGCAGCTGGACGATCTGGATGTCGCAGATGATCTGGCTCTTCTATTGCCTACACAACGACAAATGCAAGAAAATACGACTAGTGTATCAGCAGCAGTAGGTCTCAACAAACGCGTAAAGAGAAAAGCAGATTCTCCGATAAAACAAAACATGCACAAACCAAATATCACTTGACAGTGGAGCTCTTAGAAAGATGTATAAACCTCAACATATTTGGGCAGCGAAATTGATGAGCAAGGTGGATTTGATACAGATGTGAATGTGTGGATCAGGAAAGCAAGGACAATATTTCTTCAAGTGAACAACATCTAGAACTCAAAAAAACTGTCAAAAAACATCCAAGTCAGAATTTTCAATACAAATGTCAAGGCAGTTCTACTGTGTCGGCAGATGAACTTGAAGAACTACAAAATGCATCATCCTGAAGATCCAAGTATTTATTAACAGTTGTCTACGCAAAATATTTCGCATCAGCTGACCAAGCACCATCAGTAACAAATCAGATTGCCGTGGAAGAAGAAATCTCTAAGAAACGCTGGATGTAGATGGGACGCATATTGTGGAAAGAACCCAACTACCTTACAACACAAGCCCTCATTTGTAACTCTCAAGGCCAAAGGAAAAGTGGAAGACCAAGGAACGAATTATGCCGATTAATGGAGACAGACAAGAGAAGAATGAACAACAATTGGACGGAACTGAAAAAGGAAGCTCAAGACGGTAAAGTTTGGAGAATTACTGGTCGACAGCCTATGCTCCATAGAGAGGTACAGGTGTAATAATATATAAGTAAGTAATGGTAACCTTCCATTCTGTTAGGATATTCATTCAATATCCTAAGAGAATTATTGGTCAATTCCTATTGGTCGATTTCTATTGGTCAAAATTATGGTCGTTTTAACTGTAAAAGTCAAATACTTCAATGTTGTCCCTTATTGGTCATCTGGACTGTGAATGTCATTTCAAATGTTACTTCCCATTGGTGGTCGTCTAAACTGTCAATGGCATAGAATTCGATGCTGTTTCCTATTCGACCAAAATGTATAAATACGCATTATGTGTAACGTTTTATGACCAGGACCAGGACCCGGTCCCGGATCCCTGTTTCTCTTCTGGACTCGGACCTCGTACTTTCTGGATGCTTGTAGAATACAGATACTACTTCATATCATGTCTTGTCTTATTTTCACTGAATATAGGGGTTGGGATAATCGGATTAGAGTAGCATGTGTCGTGTTACCGGATCCCTCGATCCTTGCTCTCACGTTTCCGACTAAGGTGTAAACTCGTAATAATAGTTCAAGTATATCCCAGTTGACGTGTTTACGTGAAGGCGTAACACATTCCTTCATGACCATAGTTATATACATATGTGTTTACATATAACAACTAACCTAATAACTAGTTCAACATAGCTTTCTCATCTCTATGAATTATAATCTATCAATATTTGTTATATACAGAATCTGAACCGAATCTTACATCAAATGATTCACCGGAAAATCAGTTACTTACCCCCATAAATCATAGAACCAGAGGATATGAAAATAGACCAAGTATATGTAGTATACCAAGAATTATACCATTGTATCCAGATAATGGTCGTATGACGAATGAATATAATTGTCCAATTATTTTGCTATTAGGTAAGTAAGTAAGTAAGTTATACAGTGATAACAATCAAATTACATGGGTATTAGAGTTTGTTTTTGTACATGTTTCATTGATTAATTTAAACAAATAGATAGGTAGTGAGTGTTATTAGGACAGGAACTACTTATATATATATATATATATATATATATATATATATATATATATATATATATATATATCATTGTACTTTTATTAGTGTTGCGTTTGTATAAGTATGTATGTTTGGTGTCGCTGCCTGCTCGAAGGAGTTGGAGGACGGAGATTCGCGGAGCTTCCTGGAGGGGTTTGAGGCCGCGGTGGAGCTGGTGGGTGTGAAGGGACCCGGGGCGGAGTTGGCGGTGCTGGGGACGCTGCAGAGAGGTGAGGCGAAGGCGGTATACAACAGCCTGGACGGTGCCGCCGGGAAGATGGCGTGGAAGACGGTCACCGGGCGGATGATGATGGAGTTCGACAGCCCGGTGGACAGGGAGAAGGCGCCTCAGAGGTTCCGATTGGCGAGGCTGTCGGCTGATGGTGACCCGTTGGTGCTTGCTGTGGAGCTCACGATGTTGCTGCGCTGTACGCTGCCGAGTATGTATAGGGAGTCGGGGGCACAGTTGTTGGCGTCGCAATTTATCGAGAGTGTGCCTGCCGCCGTGTCCCAGCAGCGGGAACTGGTAAACGCTACACGTTGGATAGATGCCGTACCCATTCCAGACCAGCGGGCAAGAACAATGAAAGAAGTAGTAATCCGGCATATTGTAGCGCGTCACGGAATACGGAAGGTGATATTAACTGACCAGGGTCCCTGTTTTGAAAGTGACGACAGCTTATTAAAAGGGGGTACGAGTGTGGTGTGAGCTACTTATAAGTAGTATATAACGTGAGTGTCAACGTAATGTCTGGCAACAGAAGATGGGGGAAGATCAAGAAAGGAAGAAGAGTGGGAACACAATGGAATTTGTATGAAACGCATGAATAGTGACAATGGATTGATATTGTTTGGAACAGGAACAGTCCAGTTCGATATGATGAACTGTTATTTTGCAAATGAACGATTTACGATATGGTTTTCCGATTTTACTGAGTAACTCTTTAATTTTCGTTAAATACAATCCTGTTGCCCCACCTGTGTTCTCATTAACTACATTTGTTTACGTGAATATTTATTTTGTCTAGCTTTAATGTTAATCGCTTAGAGAATTTGATGACTGATTTATTTTCCTGTGTCAAGTTTAATCCGATTCATCCGTTCAACCCTCAGCACTCGCTTATCACCGGTGTGTCACGCTAATAACCATCATCAACTTTTCATATTCGTCTTTTGAACTATATACACATTTAGGCGTCATTATCTATTTACGGTTATCAAGGCAAGCAGGATACGAGATTAAGAAATAGCATCGATTACCAACCGCCACAAAATTGATCAGTCAACCTTCATCATAACATATAGAATATATGTTCAACAAAAGACAACTCTACATGAGATTGTTTTTAAACTTTGAATGAAGAAGTAACGTAACAACACTTTAAATAATTAGTAAACAAAAGTAAAGAATTAGTAATTTTACAGTTATTAAAATTGTGAAAGGTTTTCAGCAATTTTATAATTTTTTCAAAATACTTCACAAAGATAGCTTGTATTATAAAATATGAATTAAGTTTTTATTCGGCAATCATTGAAATTAGAACAACACATATGTAAGCGAACAATATTACTGTTTTCGATTAGATCGTCATCAGGCTCTATACTCTAATATACATGAATATGTGTATATGAAAATGTTTAACCAACCAATCAATGCAATTTGAGTGATAATCACAATGAAATGAAAAAGGCAAAAGTACAAGTGGATAGTAGGAAGATAGGTGAACAGATAGCAGTAGGAAAATTTATAAAATATGATAACTACAGTAGGTCAAAGGTGGATGAATAGAATTCAAATAATCATCAAAAAACATCAAAAACATTACGTAATAAGCAAATGTGTAAAAATAATAAAATTAAAATAAATAAAATATATATAATCCCAATCGTTAGTTACGTCATATCCGGCCACGGAAGAGATAGGGGTGTCACGAATTTCTTCTGAACACATAAATATGGGTTGAATATACGTATTCCTATGGCTTCAGCAATGTGTAGGAGACTGGATCGAACTCCGTTGGGAAATGATAGAGGTATACGATAGATCAACCGAAAATATCTAGATTTATCTACAATGTGACCACTATCTACCAGGTGTGCTAAGATAGAACTGCGTATTGTTTTTGACTGACCCTCTTTATAAACCATGCTGGGAGATGTTCACTCATTCGTTGTGTAAGTTGCCTGGAAGTACGCCCAATATAGCTATCTCCACAGGAGCAGCTGAATTTGTAAATGCACCACATAGAGGAGGCCAACTCAGGTAACTTATCCTTCGTTTGGGTAGACATCGCTGGTCGACTGGAGAAAGTCAATGCAAGTTTGGCAGCGTTGAATGTTCTACTAATTACTCTTACTAATCTGTCCTGCAGAGTATAGAGCCTGATGACGATCTAATCGAAAACAACAATATTGTTCGCTTATATGTGTTGTTCTAATTTTCACAATGGGAATCTTTAATACTCTTAAATCATTGAAATGACAGAAAAGCATTGGATAGTTGTAATTTTTTTATTAATGTTTGTAGTCTAAGTTTTTTAATAATTTCCACATCCTGTGAAAGGCAAAAACTTTACAGTTGAAATTTTGTGAAAATTTCAAAATGCATTAAAACATTTGTTGGGGACGTTAGATCACTAGAACTCGCTTGATAAATGCCATAATTTTGGATTTTATATTCTCTAGTGTGGGCTGATCAGTTGACCTTGAAATCGCATTTCCCACCATTGATTAGCAGCTAGCTGTTCAATGTAAAAATGTATATCTTTTGGCTATATCAGTAAATACAAACAATTGTTAATATATTCGCTTAAGGGAATACTGAAATATTAAATAAAGGCATCAGAAAAAAGACGTTAAACTTATTAGTGAAATCATGAATCAATCATTGTTAGACCACCACCATCATTAGAAACCTGGAAGCACTGGATGACCGTTTCGTCTTGGTATAGGACTCATCAACAATCTCCATAACTTTTTAATGAAAAATTGTGCAATCTGCTCACTAGTAACTAGCTTGTTGAGGAAATTCTTCAAGTTTTAGTGAGAAGACATGACCAGTGTAATTCAACCCTTTCGAGTATTGGCAGTAACTATCTAAGATAAATATATGAGATTGCTCTAAATCTCTAGATTGATCAGAGTTATACATTAACACCGTTGGATGCCGGTGCGTTCGCGCGCAAGACCGAAGGTCCTGTGTCCGAATCCTGCGAGTAGCGGGAGTTGTGGATGCGCACTGATAATGAGTCATATAAAATTTCATTAGTAAGGCATAATGTTTAATTGTTTGATTATATATATCAGTGAACTGTTGTATGTTTTGTTGGCGTTGTTTGAGTTGTTATCATCATGAATAAATTTAGGCTTCCTATCTGTTATTTACTAAACACAATATTTCCTTGAAATTCTCGCTATTCCAGAGTCTTAGATACACACTAGATATATATTACTTTCAGTAATGTTAAGTTCGTATGTAAAGAATTCGTATTATGTAAGGACTCCCAGATGTCCAAGTACGGCCGAGAGTAGAAAGAGCTTACTCTCTCTCTCTTTCTCTAGTGAAATGCACTCAAACAGTCACTCATATGTAGAAGCAATCAAGGAAAACCTACTCACTTCTTTCACTGAACATAAGTTTTCTTTACAAGATTGAGATCACGAAAACCGAGTGTCCGGCTAGAGCTTAAACTAGGCTGGCAGGTAAACACTGATTTTGAAGTACACATACCTTCAGGATCCTAACAAAATGAATAACTTGTGAACCTATTGTTAGTCGATTACTAACATGGTACCACATTTGTTTATGTTGCTCAACTGGTTTATGAAAAAGACCACCTGTATCGATTCGGGCGTCAGTGTATTATCCTAGAGTACTCATAAGTTCAACAATTTTTGTATTAATGTTTATGCGTTTAAATGAATTTGAATAAATGTGATCATTATCCAAGAAAAATGCAAATAAACATGAATTTATCAGTATTATTAATAATGTGTTTTATTTTAAAACATAAACATTGACAATAAAATTATCAATGTACATTCAAGTACGCTAATTTATGCTACAACTTATCATAAGTCATCACACAAAAATAACTCGATAATTATTAAGGGTTATTGCAGAATTTTCAATACAAATATCAAGACAGTTCTACTATATGAAGCTGAAACTTGCAGAGCTACCAAAGCCCCATCATCCAGAAGATTCAAGTATTGATTAACAGTTGTCTTCGCAAAATACGTTGGATTCGTTGGCCAGACAATATCACCAACAACCTACTGTGGCAGAGAACAAACCAGATTCCAGTGGAAGAAGAAATCAGGAAAAAGAGCTTGAAATGCATAGGACATTCACTGCGAAAAGCATCTAACTGGGTCACAAGACCATCCCTCACCTGGAATCCTCAAGGTCGAAGGAAGAGACGAGGCTCAACGAACACATTACCTCGAGAAATGGATGGAACAGGAAAAGGAGGCCCAGGACATAGTAAGTTGTAGAATACTTGTCCTCAGTCTACGCCTTATTAGGAACAGCAGACACAGGAAAGTAAGTAACTTCAGAGTTCTAGAAACGTAAAGTTTCCATTAGAATATAAAATTGCACAAAAAGCAACTCATTTTGTACCATTTCCCGCCTTTTTTTCCCTCCTTTTTTTTTAGGTGGTCCAGGCTCTGGACGAACAGAACAAGCGATAGCTTTATGTGAAAAACTAACTGATTTAGCATTTTTCAATGTGACCGACTTCTTAAGGAAAAATATTTTAGATTTTATCAATGAAAATAATGTTAAAGATTGGGATGTGATTGGACGTCGTGTACATTCTAGTGATCCACCATCGAACAGGGTATGTGTATAGTACACACAGTACAAATTTGATAAACTTGTAGACTAGTATTGAGACATTTTTAAAGGTGTATTCTATAGAAATGGAAAGTGAATTCAAGACTCAACTTCTTTACCTCACTGAGCTAGATTAAAATGGTGTCTACGCCGAAAGTTTAGTCAATCTATGATGCTGTACGAGAATCTTCTAGTGTTTCGCACTCAGCATGTTTTAAACCACATTGGTCATTAGAACTTTGGAAAATGCTATATGAAGATAATTACGAGCGAGTATCAGATACTGATTAGTACAGGGTTGTAAAGATATTTCCATTAAGTTATCAGATATAAGTCAATGAAAACTAGACTTAACACAAGGATATATCTATGTTTACGAAAATGACAGCTTAAGTGCCAATATATATCTTAGACATGCAAAACATTGGATTCTGGCTCATTGGTCTTACTTGTATCTTCTAGATGATGGCTTTGGTAGTTCTCCAAGATTCCGCTCCATACCGGAGAACTGTCTTCCCATTTCTATTGAAAATCCTGATTTTGGTTTTGGTTGAAAGTTGTTTGGAGTTTCAGATATTTTTCATTTGTAGAAATGCAGCCCTTGCTTTGTTGATCCGCGCCCTCACATCTGCATCGGATATTAAATATTTTTATTTTAGTCGTACAATTATTGCGAAACATTAAAACAACGAATTTGTCTGTCATCATTTGTAAGTAGATGAAGTGATTGTATAAAATATCATGGAGTGTATGAATTTGCTTTTATTCACTTTAATTTCGTATAAATAGTTCTTATCATTCATTAACTAAATGTTAATCATATTACAATGATAATCTGTTTTTGATTATGTTTAGGACCGGATTATTCCAGAATATTGGGTAAGTTTTTGATGTGTTTCCATTTTGTTTTGGTTATTTATATTTTATGAATTTTCGTTTTGACGATTTGATATACCTGGAAGTTTTGGACAGCTGTTACGTCCGAGTATGAGGCTTATCAGCAGTGTGCATCCATGAAACCTTCTTGTGAGAATCAAATGTAGGACGTTTGGACTCACACTCGGAAGTTTAACCACTAGATCACTGAACCGACATCTAACGATGCTAATGAGCCCCATATTAGGACAAAATGATCGACCAATACTTCCTGGTTTCTAATATGGACATTATAGGGGTGAAAATTACAGATACCATCTACTGTGCAAAGAAGTTTCTAATTAAAAATGAATGGCTATGAACTTTACGTTGCCTCTGTTTCTTTAGACAAGATTAGTTGAGAATCAGAATTTGTTTGATAATTAAAAATTATTTGAAGTCATCAATCAATAATTCTTAGACCACGACCATTAGAAACCTGGAAGCACTGAAAGACGGCCGTTTCGTCCTGGTATGGGACTACTCATCATTGGCAGTGTGCATCCACGACTCCTGCACCTCTCAGGATTCGAACCCAGGACTTTCGGTCATGCACGTGGACGCCTAACCATCGGACTACCGGGCCGACCTTCATTAGACTTTATCTATAGTTAGT